TGAGTGTGTCGTTGCGAGTTGACCCCTTTTTATTGGGCATTTTTTGGTCAAAATGGGTGTCGGACCTTCTTTGTACGGGCGTTCCCTAGTTGACGTATAAAATTTAAACGATTCTGTCTTATAGAAAACCCATTTTCTGTTTAAAGTGAGATAGGGATTTGAAAAGAAGTAACCTATCCCAAAAAAAAGTGAGGAAGGCTCTAAATTACGGGCCCCCTCTGATAATGAGTTGAGACTATCCATGGGCCTCGTAATTTAGGGCCCTCACCCGCTGATTGTGTACCCGGCAGGTCATAACATAAAAATAAAGGATTCTTTTCCTTTTTTATCGATGTTAGATCGTACTTTCTAAAAAAGGGGAAAATATATGGGGAGTGTATGGAGACCTCTGACAATGGGGCACTTTAGTGTCGTAAGTGGGGTCCCATTGTCAATGGATCCCACACTCTGATAGGAGGTAAGTGTGGATCCTTATAAGAAAAATGTTAGATTCCACTTTTTGAATGATGTGGGACATCGTTTCTCGTAGGTGATAAGACCTTATTTGTGGTAAGATAAAAGATAAAAAGTGTGAAGTGGAGACCCCTGATGGTGGGTCCCTTTATGGGTTGCCTACCATCAAAGGGTCTACTCCACTATTTAGATCTCATGTTATTCCACTTTAAATAATCGTCAGAAGTTTTGTTTTTATTCGATGTGGGACATTTGAAAGAGGCTGTCAGTAGCTTTATTTATTCAAAAAGTAGAGTACTGGAAAACACTGTACGATTTACTTTATTGAAAGTACCTTTTCAGGTTCATTGCATTCCTCGGCTTGGTCATTTCGGTGCCATCCAGGTGTCAAGTCTGTAAGCTCATTTTCCAATCACATCTGATATTCGGTATGGCCCTTCCCATTTAGGTTCCAATTTGCTAACATACTTTTCTGATTTCAGGTTCACCAGATCTCCCGGATTGAAGCTTCTCCTTCTGACTCTTTTGTTATAACTATTTGCTATCTTCTGCTGGTAGGCTGCTAGCCAGATGGCTGCAGCTTCCATTTTTTTCTTCCAATAGATCTAGACTGTGTTCCAGAAGCTGATTATTTGACTCCTAGTTCTAAGCTAAGCTTCGGATGGTGGGTGTTATCACGTCGGTGGGGATTACGGGTTCGATGCCGTAAGCTAGAGAGAAAAGGGTTTCACCAGTGGGACGTCTCGGGGTGGTTCTGTATGCCCATAGGACATTTGGCAATTCTTCTAACCACTTCCCTTTTTATCTTCAAGCTTTTTTTTGATGCAGGCAAAGATTGTCCTGTTAGTTATCTCCGCTTACCCATTGCCTTGGGGGTGGTATACAGCTAATACTTTCTGGTTGATACCGTATTTGTCGAAGAAACGTTGAGTATATTGATTATCCAGATTCGGCCCGTTGTACATGATGATGGACTTTGGGATTCCGAATCTGCATATCAGGTTGTTCCAAACGAATTTTTTCACTTGGACATTAGTCACACTTGCGTATGCCTCTGCTTCTACCCATTTAGTGAAATAATCAGTGACTAACAAGGCGTACCTTTTTTGCAATGCCGCCATTGGTAGGGGTCCTACCACGTCCATTCCCCATTGTGCGAACGGCCATGGGCTGCTCATGGTATGTATTTCTTCTGAGGATAGATGGACGAGGAGGGAATACCTTTGACATTTGTCGCATCTGCGAGAATATTCTTTCGCTTCCCTTGTTATGTAGGGTCAGAAATAACCTTGAGTGAGAGCTTTATGAGTCAATAACCTGCCCCCAGAATGATTCCGTACTCCCCTTCGTGTATTTGTTTTAGAACTTCTCGGGACTCCGTTGGGGTCAGACACTTGAGGTAGGGCCCGGAATGCGATCGCCTGAAGAGCTGTCCTCCTATCACAGAACATTTGGCAGCTTTCATCCTTAGCTGTCGGGTTGCTTCCTTAGAATTGGGGAGTTCTCTTCTCTCAAGGTAAGCTAATATTGGATTTATCCAACTTGGTTCCCATGGGATGACCAACACTTGCATTCCCTTGTGATGCTTGGTGTATCTAGGACATCAATGGGGATGACCCTGGTGAGTGACTCGTCCGCTATGGATACTGCATTCGCCAAGCGATCAGCTATCGGGTTTTCTTCCCTAGGGATCTGCTGAAATTTGATTGTATCAAAGTACTTTGTCATTTTTTCAACTTCTTCTCGGTACGTATTCATTCTGCCCTATCTGGTAGTGTATTCTCCCGTCATCTGCCTTGTGATGAGTTGCGAATTACTATAGGCTTTGAGGTGCTTTACTTGGAGTTCCTTGGCCAATCTGAGCTCTGCCAACAGCGCCTTATATTCAGATTCATTGTTTGTGACTGGGAACTCTAGTCGGACTGATTGTTGGATTCTGGTCCCTTCAGGGGTTCTTATTTATATTCCTGCTCCGGCTCCATTTTGACTCGAGGAACCATCGACGTATAATTCCCAGCAAGGCTCTTCCGTGGTTTGTTGTTCTTCCCCTAGGACAATGTCCAAGAGAAAATCTGCAACCACTTGCCCTTTTTTTGCTGTGCGGGATTCGTACCGGATGTTAAAGGAGCTTAATTTAATTGCCCATTTGGTGATTCGACCTGAGATGTCTAGTTTACTGAGAATTGCTTTGATAGGATGTACGTGGGAACTACTGTCCGACGAGCCTCGAAATAGTGTCAGAGTTTCTTTTTGGCCTGAATTGGAGTAAGGATGATTTTTTCTACCATTGAGTACCGGCTTTCTGCGTCGGTCATGCCCTTGCTGGAATAAAAGACCGGGTGTTACTTTTTTCCCACTTCTCTTACTAAGGCTGAGCTGGTTGCTGACTGAGATACTGCTAGGTAGAGGTACAATGGCTCTTTGGGTTCTGGAGCAGATAGAATTGGGGGACTTGTCATGTATTCTTTGAGTTTCACGAGAGCTTCTCTCTGCTCTGCCCCCCAGATAGCTCTTTTTCTAGCTCTAATTGCGTCGAAGAAAGGTTTGCATTTGTCTGATAGTCTGGATATAAAATAGCTAAGAGCCGCTACACTCCCAATTAGGATTTAGACTTCCCTCACGGTTCGGGGCTTTGACTCTGTAGTAATTTTGTCAACCGAGTGGGACTTGCCTCTTTTCTCCTTTTGCTCACCAGGTGACCGAGGAACTGTCCATAGGACACTCCGAACGAACATTTTGCTAGGTTTAACATCATTCTATGTTTCCTGAGAGTATCAAACACATCCTGCAGGTGTTGCCGATGATCTTTCTTAACTTTGCTTTTCACAACCATATCATCTATGTAAGCTTCGACCGTTCAGCCGATCTGTTTTCGAACATTTTGTTGACCAACCTCTGATAAGTTGCTCCTGCATTTTTTAACCCGAAGGGCATTACCATGTAGCAATAGGTCCCCCGTTCGGTGATGAAAGAAGTCTTCTCTTCGTCCGAAGGGTTCATCGGGATTTGGTTGTAGCCCGAGTAAGCATCAAGGAAAGTCAGTTTTTCATATCTGGTCGTAGCGTCTACCATCTGATTGATCTTAGGGAGTGGGAAGCTATCTTTTGGGCATGCTTTGTTCAGGTTGGTAAAGTCAATTCATACTTGCCATTTACCATTCTTTTTTTGGACAACCACCACGTTTGACAACCATTGAGGATACTGGATTTCTCTGACGAACCCTGCTTCTAAAAGTCGATTGACTTCTTCGGCAATGATTTTATTCCTTTTGGGGGCAAACCTTCTTTGCTTTTGTTTCACTAGATGGTGGCTGGGGTCCACGTTTAGGCTGTGACAAGCCGTCCTTGGGTCAATTCCCAACATGTCCCAATGATTCTAAGCGAAGATGTCTGCATTCTTCCTTAGGATTTCTGCCGGTTCCTCCTTTTCTTGAACTGACTGGAGAGTCCCTATGTAGGTCAGCTTGCACTCGTCCCCTGCGACTATCTGCATGGCTTCTAGGGGTTCTGCAGTAAAATGCTCTTCTTCCGGTTCCTCCGTCTCTTTTGGAAGGGAAGAGCTCGGTAATTGCTATTTCAGCGATTTCTTATCCTTATCGGAAGGATAAACCGTCGTGTGGTAGCAGATGGGACTCCTTCCATGCGGTGGATCCATCCTCGACCCATTAGCAAATTGTAGGTCGGGTGAATATCCACAATCACGAAGTTCTCTTTCAGAGATCTTTTAGCAGTAGTGACTGATAACGTGATCACACCTGTGGGCTCCACTCTTCTTCCATCGAATCCTACCAAAGGGCTTTTAGTGGGACGAATCTGGTCTGTGGCTAATTTTAACTGATCGAATGTCCACTTTGTGATGATATTGGTGCTACTGCCGGGGTCAATCAGTACTCATCTGACCAGACAGTTGGCCACTAGTAAACTAACTACTAATAGGTCTTCGTACGGGTGTTGCACCCTTCTAAGATCATCTTTATGAAAAGAAACTTGTACTGGATTGGGTTTGCAGTCAACGGTATTGATTTCCCCAATCCTCCGCAACTTATGGGCTTGTTTGAGCTGGATCCTGTAGGAATTTCCCGATTGCTCGTCTTCTTCCAGACGGCCATGAATTGTGTTAATTACCCAAATAGGATGGCTCTCTACCGCAGCTTTTGGAATTGCTCGGGCTCGATCTAACTGCCTTGGTTGCCCCGGGGTAATCAAGTACTCAGTTAACTCGCCCTTGGCTATTAACGCTTCCACCTGTCTTCTCAAGCTCCTGCAATCATTGGTTAGGCGACCAAAATCACTGTGGAATGCGCAGTGTTTACTCTGGTCTCTTTGCTCCATTGGCTGTCTGATTGGTGGTGGGATCTGGAAGATGTTTCTTGCCTTGGTCTCTTGGTACAGTCTGGCCAGTGTTACTTTGAGTGGCGTGACTCTTTCGGTTGTTCGGGATTTCTTTTCAGGGGCTCGTCCCTCAATAGCGGAGGGTTCCTGATGGGCCTTCGGGATACTTGATCGCTTCTTCGGCCGATTCTTTACTGTGACCAGTGTCGCTCTCTACTATCTAGTTACTTCATTTTCTTCAAGTCTGATATAGTTTAGTGCCCACGAATTCAGCTCTGACATGTTAGTTGGGGTCTTCTTCACCAGAGAAGAATGGAAACGTGAGCTTTGCACCATGGCTATCTTCAACGCTTCTATGGCTGTGTCTTGATTACAATCTGGTATGCTCGAAGACTCCATGTTGAATCGGGTGAGGAAGGTTTTCTTCTGTTTCTTATTTCCACAATACTGGGCCAAGAACATGACGCATAGTGACTCGAAGTTTGGGATCGACTTGCACGGGCGATTCTTGAACCACTCTAGGGCCACCCCCGTCAGGCTGGATGGAAATATTTTGCACATGAATAGATCATTGTGAGCCTCTAGTGTCATTTCCTGAGTGTAGTGGTTGAGATGCTGGAGGGGATCTCCAATTCCATTTAATTTGATGAACTTGGGCATTGTGAATTTCTTGGGTCTTGCGACCCGTTCTATCTTATCTGTGAAAGAGGTTTTCACTGTTGATGCAGTGAATTCTCTCGCCATGTCTTCGGGTATTTGGGCCTTCAGCCCATTGATTCGTTCGTCCATTTCTTTCCCGAGCCTGGTGATAAAGTCGTTCCCCGAAGACGACTGATCAGCTGCTGGGGTCCACACTTCTTTTCTACCTGAATCCACGTCATCCAATGAATGGGCTTTGGTGACTAGAGGCCCCCCAATATTGGAGTTCCCTAAGGTGCGGGATTGACTTGCGGCATCGTTGATGTCCTCCAGCGTTCCATTGAGCTGTTGGCGTGGAGCCTTCTGTTGGTGAGTTAGATTATCATTGCCTGGCTCCATGGGGGGATCTTCGTTCCGACGTTCGGGCCGAGGGTTGTTCGACTGTTCATTCTGCTGAGTGTTGCCTCGGAGTCTTTCGTTTTCTTTGCGCAGAGTGCTAATTTATGCCACGCTGGTTTCTTGACCCTGCCTTAGCATATTGATTTGCTCAGTGCTGGCTTCATTTGTTTGTCGCAGGACGTCCAGTTGCGCTTGCATTTCTTCGCGTATCTTCTGCATGGTCTCCTGTTGCTGCGGTTGAACAGTGTCTGGCTCTGTTGCCATTCCGAAGTGATGTTGTATGCAAGGGATAGGGAACAGACTTTTTGTATTGAGCTTCCCACAAACGGCGCCAAAGTGTGGGTGCAATTTTTTATACCCGAACACCTAAAGAGATCAATTATGGAGAACACACAGGAAAAATCAAGAAGGGAACAGGCAAATCTTTGAGATAGTTGTAATATTGAGAGTTCGATGCTCTTCACCTTTATTCATGCTCTATTTATAAGTATTTTTGCTTAGGAATTTACATGGAGTCGTTTCTTGGCTTTTATTCCCAAACGTGGGTAATTATGCCTATAGATCATGCATTTAACATTATTTCAGGCGTTATGGAGTTTAGGCCTTGTCAAGATTGGGCCTGTCCATTTAGCCTTTGTATTAAGTAGGCCTTCCTTTGCTAGGCTTATATCTGATTGTGGGCTTCTAGCTTTTTTAACTTGGTTGTGGGCTGCCTTTTGCCGCCACGTAGTGTTTTGCGATTGGCGTGGTTTTTTTTCCCTCCACACTTACCTTTCTGTGTAGAAGGAGTAGTCGGCTTCTTGTCCCCTCCATATAAAATGATGAATTGAGATACCCCCAGTCTTTATTTTGAATGACTTGATAAGGCTAATTCCAGTTGTAAGACAATTATTAATCGATATACTTATCTGAGTCCTCCTTACGATATGTCTTATCGTTTTGGCTGAAGAACGATCTCTTATATGTTTGCCCTTTAATAAGGGAGTCAAAGTTTTTCACTTTCGTGGACTTATCCTTTATGCTTGCCTTGCTTTGTGGCTATGGTGGTAGTGACCCGTCAAATTTGAAGTGTATGTGACAGGTTATGGTTTCAGAGGATCGAGCACGGGTCTTAGATGACTAGTGCCCCCGAGGAGTCGCTAAAGGAGAGAAACTAGAAACCCGGCTAGCTCAATGTACCAAGGTTGGTGCGTCAATCGTCTAAACCTTGTTATCATATGTAGATCGACGATTGATATTGTGTGATCCACTATTCTGCCCCCAATGGTGGGATCTTGGGTGATGACCCATTCTATAGACGTTTATACAGCGGACGGGGTGCCTGGTGCTGCAACAATTTACAGTTATCTAAAAATATTAGATTGTGTTAGAAATGATTACTGAAAATTAACCTGCAATGGATTATCATTCCAAAATTCTACATAATTTGAAGTCGATAGGCAATTCCTGCAAAAGAAAAGAGGTGACGACTGTCATCTAGTAGGCGAAGGCTTTACTAGTAGGTAGAGACCCCTTTGTTGGTAGTGATCTTCTTGATGGGTGGAGACCTACTCATTTATGTAGGCGTAGAAGGACTAAACCTTAGTCTTCAATGATCAGGCCTTGGTAGTTGGCTGCTGCTAGATATGAGATAGAGTTTAGTCTTAGACTACCAAACCTCAGTAGTGAGGGAACCAAACATCACTAGATGGATAACACCACATTGGACTGCCTAGGTTGACGTGCCAAATTTTGATTATTGTCATCGTACACTGGGTGGCATCACGCAACCCACCGTTTTGCCCCCAATATGATGGAAGGGTAATAATGATGTAGAAACCCGTCCTTATATAAAAACATAGAAACCCATTGTCAACTGATGACTTTGGGACGGTTTCCATGATCGAAAACTTTCATCTTACCATCCGAGCCAAGTCGCGTCAGGATTATTATTTCTTCAGAGAACTAATCGTTCCCATAGACGGCGCCAGCTGTTGATGCTAAAATCCTCGTGACTCAGAATGACGGCGTTTACCTACAAAACGAAGGGACGTCACCTCGAATGGCACCGATAGGGTGCTAGCCGAGAACTCTCTGACGATCAAGTTAATACTTGTAATTGTATCACATAATAATTATGTATATTCTCTTTAGGGCTTTTTTCTCGTACCTTCTTTAATGGCTTGGTGCCCTATTTATGGCTGTCGATTGGAACCAAATTGGTTCCGCCGATGTCGATGGTTGAGGTCTCCCTTATCATCCGCTTGTGCGAGATTAAAGGAGATCCGTTTATTGCCAGATTTGTTGGGGATATAATTTACTCCTTTGACTTTATCAAATTGTGCCAAGGTTATCCTTACCCTGTTGAACCACGCCGTCTTTTATTATCCTGGATAAGAAATGTCATCATTCTTATCCGATGAAAATCGTTATCTTTGATAACAAAATATGTCGAAGAGGTTTGGTGGCTGGTCAAGGTAGGTTAAGTTTATTTTCCCCTATCAGTAGCAAAATATCATTATCTATCTCCTTCAATTTTGAAATTCCAATGGTTTTGTCATCACAAGTTTTTCCTTTCGCATACTGTAATTCTTCATTTCCTCGTCATACTCTTCAGAAGATGACTCTATTGTCGCGTTGATTCAACAGGGTTAAGACGAATTCTATGAGATTATGAATTCAGTGAGGCCAGAGATAGTTGAACAAGTATTTCAAGTTCATAATAAGAAGATGTACATTCATTGTAACCGAGAGGGAAGCCACTATCAGCTAATGAAATACTATAAAAACTGAGAAAACTATTGAGAGAAATATTTGTTCTTTCTTCATTTGATAAAGTACACAACATCTATATAAATAGGTTATACAAGGCATAAAAATAGGAACTAATTAACTACTGATTCTAATTTAAATTTAAACTTTCTTATTCCATAGGCATTGACTAATTCTATATATTTACAGCTATGATATCCATGAAATTTTGGCTATATCTTGGCTGAATTATTTCTGTTTCTGACACTCCCCCTCAAGCTGGCTTAAATATGTCTTCCATGGCTAGCTTGCCAATTAAGTAGTTAAACTGTCTTTTGTGTAATCCCTTTGTAAGAACATCTGTAATCTACTCGGTGGTGGGTATATAAGACATGCAGATTAATCCCTTCTCAAGCTTCTCTTTGATAAAGTGCTTGTCAATTGCCACATGTTTAGTTCTGTTGGGAAGGATAGGATTATGAGCAATTGCAATTGCTGCCTTGTTGTCACAATACACTTTCATTGGTGAAGTACTCAAAATTTTTAAGTCTTCTAGTAACCTTCTGATCCATAAAACTTGACAAATTCCACGAGCAACTGATCTAAATTCAGCTTCTACACTACTTTTAACCACTACGTTCTGTTTTTTGCTTCGCCAAGTAACCAAATTCCCTCTAACGAAGGTACAATAGCCTAAGGTAGATTTCTGATCAGTAATGCTACAGCCCAATGCGCATCTGTATAGACTTCAACCTGAAGATGCCCTTATTTTTTATATAACAGTCATTTACCAGGAGTTCTTTTTAGATACCTTAGGATTCTGTACGCTGCTTCAAAGTGTTCATGTCTTGGTGAATGCATGAATTGGATGACTCTATTTACTGCGAATGCTATATTGGGACGTGTATGAGATAAATAGATTAATCTTCCAACAAGTCTTTGCAATTGTTCTATATTCGCCACGTATTCAATTTTAGCATGCTGTAGTTTCAAGTTAGGCTTGAGTGGTGTTTCAGCTACTTTACATCCAAGCATACCTTTTCGTCGAGCAAGTCAAGTGTGTATTTGTGTTGAGTGACAAAGATAACCTCCTTGGACCTAGCGAACTCCATTTCGAGAAAATATTTCAATGCTCCCATGTCTTTTATCTCGAAATCTTTAGCAAGTTCCTTCTTTAATCTTTCTAGCTCGGCACTATCATCACCTGTTAAGATTATGTCATCCACATAAACAATCAAGATATTTACTTTACTTTCTCTTGAATGTTTATAGAACATAATATGGTCTGCTTGACTTTGATAGTAACCAAGGTTTTTTATAACCTTTCTAATGCGTTCAAACCATGCTCTTAGGGATCGCTTGAGGCCGTATAGGGACTTGTTTAATTTGCAGACTTTATATTTACCATTACCAAACTTCTTCTCAAAACCTGGAGGTAGGCTCATATATACTTCTTCTTCTAGATCTCTGTTTAAGAAGGAATTTTTTACATCTAATTGATGTAAGGGTCAGTTGTAATTCACGGCCAAGGATAGTAAAACCTGAATTGAGTTCATCTTGGCAACCAGAGCAAAGGTTTCTTGGTAGTCAATTCTGAGGGTTTGTGTAAACTCTTTTGCCACGAGTCTCGCCTTATACCTCTCCATGCTACCATAAGCTTTGTATTTCATCGTAAATACCCATTTTCACCCTATGGTCTTCTTGTCCTCAAGTAGGTTCACTAACTTCCAAGTACCATTCCTTTCCAGAGCATTTATCTCTTCCATATTTGCTAACTTCCAATTCGGATCACCCAAGGCTTCATTAATAGTTCTTTGAACAAGCAGGTTAGATATTTTAGAAGTAAATACTCTATGACCATTAGAAAGTTTATTATAGGATAAATATTTTGTAATGGGATGTTGGGTACACTTCGGATTCCTTTTTAATGGCTATAAGGAGATCACAATCTATGAGTATAACACTACGTAAAACAATCGAAAGAGATAAAGATGGAGTAGAGGCAGATAGAGGAACAAGATTAGGATTAATATTATCTAAGCTGTTCGAGGGACTTTTCTCCAGAGATTCTGATTGACTTTGTGGTAGAATGGTTGGTTGGTCTTTACTCTTTTGTTAAGACATTTTCTGAGCATAAATAAAAAACTCAGGTTCTGGATCAATCTGTTCCTTTTGTAGTATTTCTCCCCTTGCTTTCAAGCCATTTATGTTTGGAAAAAATCGGCTCGAATTTCCTTCGTTTTCCATATCTTGAACACCCTGTTTCTGTA